ACGCAAGGATGAGCCTCTCTCTTTGCCCGCAGAAGAAACGCGCATCATCCGTATCGAGCGAGTGCAGCTGGAGCAAGACACATCCAAATCCTTTCACAGCATAGACGGCAGCACCAATTCTCCTCAAGTGCTGATAGATCTCAACCGCATGGGATCTCCACTGATAGAGATTGTGGGAATGCCGGATCTCAAGAGCGCAAAGGAGGCTGCTGGGTATGTTAGAAAGGTGCAGCAGGTGCTTAGAGCTGTTGGAGCTTCGAACGCCAATATGGATGAAGGAAGCTTGAGATGCGACGTCAATGTGTCTGTCAGCAAGCGTCGAAGGAGGTCCGAAAGCTCGGCGTATGGAAGGGAAGGGCAGGCAGCAGAAGAGGTGGTCAGAGGAACTCGGTGCGAGATAAAGAATCTGAATTCGGCCAGATTCGTGGCTATAGCCATCGACTACGAGATTGCGCGTCAAATCTCCATTTTGCAAAGCGGAAGTTCAGTCTCGCAGGATACGATGGGATTCGATGAGGCGACGGGAAAAACGTATGTGATGAGGTCCAAATCGGACGCGCCAGAGTACAGGTACATGCCGGATCCTTCATTGCCCGATCTGATTTTGCGCCAAGAAGACGTAAGGAGGATAGGGCAGGATGCTGCGGAGCTGCCTGGCGAGAGGAGGCAGAGACTTTTGAAAAGGTTTGCGGGATGTAGTGTGGGAGAGAGGGAGGTGGATGTGCTTTGTAGGATGGACGAGGAGGTGGCTTTTCGAAGGGAGAATGAGAGAGCGTTGAGGTGGAGCGCCTCGGGCAAGCAAAAGGAGGAAGCACAAGCCTACCTCGACCCTGTGCAATACTTTGAAAAGGTGGTGACGGGAAAGGAGCAGCAGCATGGCAGGACCACGGAGTTTAACGATGCGGACCGCGCAATCGACGAGCGCTTTGCGAGGGATCCAAAAGTGGTGATGAATTGGTGAGTGGGACGTGCGAAGAGGACGAAGCTTGGAGGGGTGCATTCCATATCCTCAGAGGCTTTGGCACGCCTCGCGCGATTTTCGGCATGTCCTAGCTGATCTATTCCACGTTCGATCTTTTCACTCCTACGCCTGCTCGTGCTCCTTCTATGCGTCAAAACAGGCTGATCAATGATGTCGCTCAAGCTCTCAAGCAATCCTCGGGACAATCCGCAGTCACCTCCACCTCCACCACCACCTCCTCCTTTGGTCGCTTTCAGAAGCTCTTTCCTCATGAAGCTTTTGGCGAGATGCTGGATCTGGTCAAGCAGAAAAAGCTGACGAGCACATCTGCTCGGACATTTCTTCGCAATGTGGTTGATGGAGATGTGCGGCTGGATCAAGTTTCGCCGTGCTGCTCCAATAGGATATACGAGATGTTGAAAGAACGAGGAATGCTCGCACTGAGCGCTTCCTCTTCCCCCGACGGTGGGTCCGTCGCCGGTGCCGATGGGCCTGCCACTTGGCAGCACCAGTCCGAATCGTCATCGACGCAAGACCTTACCTTGCTGCTTCCCATCCTGCATCAAATCATTCGCCATTCGCCCGACGAAGTGAGAGCGATTAAAAGCGGCAAAGAAAAAGTGCTCGGCAAGTTGGTGGGCTTGGTGATGAAAGCTACGGCGGGAAGGGCGGATCCTTTGCTCGTGCGACGCATGCTCCAACAAGAACTGATGATCGACCAGCAGACGAAAAGCTAGTCGAATTTTTATTCTTTGAAACTTTCTTTTGTAATCAGGTACCCTTTCGATAGGCATTGGTTTGGGTAATGTTCGACATTTGGAATTTTCATCCTCTTCGTCCTGCATCGTCCTGAGCGCTGGCAGGTCGAGCAGTGCAGTCGAATGATGAAGAGCAAACATTTTCGCGGGAGCACACGTGCGAGTTTCATCACGAACACGGTAAGCTTCTGATTTTCTTTGCGGGGGGTCCATGCAGACGGAGAAGCCGGGGCATGATTGAGCTTTTCACTCGGTACGAAATACATTGCGAAGGAGGGAGGGGAGGGGGAGGAGGGGGAGAAGGGGGGCGCGGAGCGCGGGTCCAGAGAATGGAAAAAGTCATCAGTGAGTAGGTGCATTCGTGTGGAGATGTACAGAGAGTATGACGTAGACAGCACAAATGGAAGCAAATCGAAAACTCGTCCTTGGGAGTGAGAGGGAAGGCTGATCAGCGCTCGAGCTGACTCTGGAAGACTTGGTGTTCTGACTAGGAGCAGGGAGGGGAGGAGGAAGCTATGCCTGTGCTTGGCGGACAGACGCGAAAGTGGGGGTAGAAGACACGGACGCGCTCGAGCCCAGATAGGCTACGCGCGTTCGGATGAATAGCGTAGAGAACATGTACGGTGTCAATTGTGCATCGTACAAGGGGACATGCCGATAGCCTAGGAATGCAGCGAGTCGCGATTGTCCCAAAGAGCGCCAAAGCAAGGATCGGATAGGCAAAGGGGGGGAAAGCATTCATCAGCTATTTTCCTGCTTTCTAGACCCGGAATAGCCCTGGATCGCATTGCGTGCTTACCTGGCTGCAAAGCGCCTAGACTAGCAGTATAAGCCGCGACGCAAGAAGCGTCCCCATTCGCCTCTTCATCGCAAACTTCCATTCTCAAAAATGTCAGATCCAACAGTCCCCTGCTCATTTCTCTCCAGCTTATCCCTCCTCGCACCAAATCCTCCTCCTCCAAAGATGTCTTTTGCTGCTGCTGATGCAGGGCTTCGTCGGCCTTTTGAACGAGGGCCTGACACGCTGCAGATGCTCCCGCTGGCAAGTCCACCGCGAGTTTCATGGTCTCTTGCCACTGGGGATTGAAGCCGTTGCTCTTGATCGTGCTCGTACGTGCACCCGAAGCTGGATTGCGGCTGCTTGACTGGCCTTGGCTGGGAACTTTGGCCCCTCCGTTGCTGCCGAAGAAAGAGGTGCTCGTGTGTCTGCCCTTCACTTCCATCGACGGTCTTGAGCCGTTGTTGATGGATGCAGGCGAAGAGCTGAGCAGCGTTGAGATCTTGTTGCTCTCCGCGCTCGCCATTCTGGCATGCGCAACGTCTTCCGAAGTGCAAGGAGTTGATGTGGTCGGGACGGCGTTGGCATTGGATGTGGAAGCAGCAGCAGCGGTGGCAGTAGGAACGTTGAGACTAGACGAGCTACTCGCCGCTACACTGCCCGCGCTGCTCCTTTTCTGCCCATTAACGGGCTCTTCTGGGAGTTGAACAGGTGCGCTATTCCTCGAAGAGACTTTGCGCAACAGCCCGCCTTCTCCAGAGCTTGCAGATGCGGATCGAGAGTGACGTCCCGTATTGAAGCTGGGTTGGGCTCCCCAACTCAAAGGCGCATGAATCGACAAGGAGACAAAAGGATTGATGACTGAACCTTCGTCGCTATCTTTATTCTTTGCAGAGTCTCTGAAGCGAGGCAATTGCTGCGCAGACACGACCATCACTTCCACCTCGAAGCGCAAACGAGTCGGAGAATTCTTGTGCAACTCCTTGATGCGCAAAGCTTCCGGCTTTAGCACGTATCCGCATCGCTCGTTGCGCGAAAAGAGCGCATGATTGAGTTCGAAGCCCAAATCTATCGTGCGGTACAACCAGAAAAGGCATGAGACAAGCGCAGAGCAGATCCGACGCAAGTCTGCCCTTGCCCAACCACTCACCCAAAGTTTGCCAATTGAGCGCAACAAGCTGACTTCCAGTGGCCCACATATCGTGCGGCATGAAGTTGGCGCTGGCATGCAATCTGGCAATGCTGGCCATGCTAGGGTAGATTCTGGTCAAGTGGGTCAAGTTATGCTTGATGAGATCTTCCGGCGCTGTCTTAGCATACTTCAAGGCGCTCTTTTCCGAAAGCGAAATCATGTGTTCGATGGCATAATTGACCTTCTTGTTGATTCCCCTATGCTTCACTCCCACGGTATAGACCAAAAGAGACGCTAGCGAGGCCGACATCATCACTTTTTTGTTCCTCGACTTTTCTTTCGAGTTGGGTTCGAGCAAAGCTGATTCTCGACTGCGCCTTTGAGTCAGAGATCGGACGAAATCTTTCAATCGCACCTCTGACTCGGACTCTGTGGTGTCCGTCGACGTGTCCCGTTCGTGCGCAGGCACAGAAATCGCAGGCGCTTGGCCTTGGCCTTGGCCTTGGGCTGCAGGCTTGTTTCCCGCATCAACCTCGCTGATCGGCGCGTCTTCACTCAACAAGAGGTTTTTGGTCTGCGTGCGAAGAAGGGGATCAGACAGGCCGTCAGCGTTTGCCCAGACAGACGCAAACGTTTGGTCGTGCTACGCATACCTTGATCAAGATTTTGCCCTTCAACCGATCCGGACTCGGAAGCGCATCTTTGCCGTCTTTGCCCGTCAATTTCTCCGACAAGAGCATGCCGCCAAGCTTCTGCTTGAGGATGGCAGCCATGACGTCTTGCTGAGGTATGTCGTTGTGCACTTCTAGCGACAGGATGATGGGGTAGGGCGAATTGATAAAGGCATACTTTCCGATCGCTTCAATGACATCCGCAAACGGCACTTTGCTCGTAAGAGTGTGCCCATGAGTGATTTGCGGTGTATCGTTCGGCCCGTCCCAGCAGTCCACTGCGATGGCGGGCAGAGTGCGAAGACTGAGCAGCTGCAAGACTATCTTGAGGGCCGCGACCCAGCAAGACTTACGTTCGACGCTTCGTGCGCCCCATTGCAGTGCGCGGATGTACCCTTCCACGGTACTATCGCCCTTCCACTGGCCTCCGACTAGGTAAGTATTATGACTGGAACTGATAAAGTAATCCGACAAGGGCAAAGACATGTCTTGCGTCGCTTTCAAAGTAGGCAAGGGCGTGTCGCACACTCCGATTTGCAGCAGCTCGTCCGTAGTCTGAGCTCTAGCTCGAACCAATAATGATCTATCCTTGGCCGTACTCCGCTTGTTGGCCAGGTCGCTCTTGTGATCCGAAATGAGAGGGTTGTCAGAAGAGAGAAGAAAAGAGTTGAAGCCTGCGAAGAGCACATGTCCCAACGCTGGCTCGCAATGCTTGTCGTAAATGGCATCCATCACTTCTGCATCGGCTGGCGAATGCCGCTGCACTTCTACTAGGAAACGCTTAAAGGCTTCTCGGCTCATCGCAGCGGTTGTGTGCTCGCTCGCTTCAGGTTGAATTTCCTCATCTTCCCTCTTTCCTCCGCCATTAGGATCGATCGACAATGACACGCGAGCATCTGCCCAGTCATCAAAGATTGCCTCCACATCAGCCCGATGTTTGAGAATGCTGACAAATTGCTGAAATGCGGCAAAATCGAGATATCCTTCTGCCTTGGGGTCCGCCTCTTTGAACTTTGCTTCGAGATCCTTTCTACTGCTCTCAATTCCTAATCTTCTGCACAATCTGACAACCTCTTCAAAGTCCAATTTTTCATCTTGACTAGCATCTCCCGCCCTCCAATGTTGCCTCAGCCACAAGTGTTGCCTAGCATTGAGCATATCCACGCTTCCCATCAAGTCTCTTCTGAGACGCTGGACCCGCTCCAACGTGCTTCGCCATCTCTGCAGCGATTCTTGAGACAAAGCGATCAGATTCAAAGCCTTGTATGCGCCGCCCGTTTGGTAGATGATGGTGATCCATCGAGATTCGTGCGCTGCTGCGATGGACAAGGAGATGCGGTACGAAGCTGCCGCAGCTCCAATTCTCACTTCGCGAATCAATTCCAGATCCACTTGTGCAGCGAGCAAGGGCAGACGGACAATGCAAACGCTAGTCAACGTGCGTCACTCTCATCTTTTGACCGTTCGAGCAGATTGATTTTGTCTCGGTCCACTATTCTCACCTTTGTTGTTCTTCTTGCTGTCCCACAAGATTTGACCTCGATCGGAATCCAGTCTAAATACGCGCTGCATGACTTTTTTCTGCGTCACTTTGAGCATGGCCTCTCCCTTCAGCAGCTCTTGAGGAATAGACGCAGCTTCCACCGCCGCTTGATTCGCTGCCGGTTCGGCGGCCGATACGATCCTCTCAGGTTGCGTCACAATCACGCTGACCGGGACAGGAGCTGGAGCTGGGGCTGGAGCTGAAGGCGCGGCCGGAGCTGATGAGGCGATCAAGGATCGGGAGGATGGACCTGCTTCGATACTCGGAATGGAATGTTTGATCGCTGAGTCTTGTTGGGGCGCTGATTGGTGCACTATAGCAGGCTCTCGAGATGCAGCTATCGACGCCGCTGGCCTACTTTGAAGAGCAGCAGCAGAGGTGGATGCAGACGGCGCCCCTTCCTCAGACGACGATGCTCGCGCCTTGATCCCATCTTTCACTTGCGCCAGCGCCTCTTTGTTTGCGATCCCAGCAGCATCGTCACTTCTCACCGCACCGTCGTTCCCCTGGACGCACGCCTGTGCACTCTGACCTTCCTGTATGCGCATCTGTTTGAAAGTCTGACTGGCATCTCTCTGGTGCGCATACCGAGTGTACAATCCGCTGATACTGTTCCTCACCGCATGTCCCAACTTGCGTGCTCGAGATGGAGCGCGCTGAAGATCGTTGTTGCCATTGGTGCCGTAGAGCGAGGGGCTTTCGGTGTGTTTGGCAGACGTGTGGGATGGAGAGGATGCGGCTTTGGCGGATGTGGAGGCGTTGGTGCTCATCTTGCCAGCTGATGGATGTGATAAGACAGGCTGGAAGCTTATTGCGAAGTGATCGTGATGCAGGTGTGGTGTGGTGTGAGAGTGATGCGTGGATGATGGGAATGAGATCAGAGCGCATACATGACGCAAAAGGATTGAGGGATTGTTGCCTTTTGATGCGTGCCTGTGCTCGTCGATGAAAGCAGTGCGCCATGGGCGTACGTGAGATGTTGCGTTGCTGTGGTGCAGCGTGCAGTGTGGATTCGGCGTGCGGGATGCGCATGTGCAAAGCTACAACGTCACGATGAAGCTGCAGCTCAGCAATCCGACCTTTTACCGATGCGTGCGATATTCAGCTGAATACAGCTCGACCCCTGTGCTGCAAGGCGACCCAGGCTGTTGCGTGAGCCAGTGACAAGACTTGATGGCGAGCTGGTGATGGTCGTACGTGTGCTCGTGATCGTGCGCGGCACCTTTACGAGTTGCAAATGATAGC